AGGGGGAGATGGGGAAATGGGGAGAGGGGGGAAGAGGTGGAGGAAGAGAAAATAAGTGTTGTGGGAGAGGAGCAAGCATACACAGTACAAGTGTCAGATAAATAGAAAAAGAAAGAAGGAAAGAAACTGGAGGAGGAGGAGGAAGAGAAAAAAGAAAATAAATAAGCAAAGAAGAAGAAAAAGAAGAATCAAAGGAAAAAAAGAAGAAAAGGAAAAATAATAAAAAATCGTAGATCATCTAAGTTTATGTTTATTCACTGGTCACTGAAGCATCACATGTGGAATACGATCTGTTACGTCAATCCCCAGATACAAACACAGATAATATATGTAGTTAAGAGTAAAAAAAAAAAAAAAAAGTGATTAAATGAATATGTAGTATATCAGAGTATACAAGATAACTATCTAAAAAATATACACGATATAGATAACTAAAATGTGTAGGAGGAAAAATTTGAAGTAATCTGCGTGAATTATGCAAATGAAGATTACGTCAACAAATGTACCTTGGATTACATGATGAAAAGGGCTGTTGGTGCATCGAGGTGATATAAGCTGTTCTTGCCCCTGGGGAAGGAATCTCGACCGTACTGGATCTTACAGGCGGTGGTCTATGGCAGTCTCTTTCTTTCTCTCTCGCTCTCTCTGTCTCTGTTTCTGCCTCTGTCTGTGTGTTTCTATTCTCTCTCTCTCTCTGTCAGTCTCGCTCTCTCTCTCTCTCTCTCTTTCTCTCTCCTCTCTCTTCACCCCCCTCTCTCTCTCTTCACCATTCTCTCTCTCTCTTCACCTCTCTCTCTCTCTCTCTCTCTCTCTCTCTTCACCCCCCCCCCCCCATCCTCATGACAAACGATTGCCTTTCCCAAATTACACTTTATTCATATCTTTAACTAAAGAGAGGGAATGCCATAAAGGTAAATAATTCCTTTGTTATCTGAAGTACTTATGGATTCCTCATTAGCAGCGTCTGCATTAGGATGATCGACGGTATTTACTACAATCACATAGATAATTAGTATAATTAGTTAAGAACCACGATCGGTTTGCTCCTATTCTCATTAGCAGAATTATCCCCTCCGGTCATAACCAGCAAACCATCAATAATATTTTTCTAATAGACCTTTCACACCGATTATAAAATCACTGACACATCTCTGGCGACTTCAGCGCAAGAGGCCAAGAAATGTAGTTTTTCTTCTTCTTCCTCTTCGTTTTCTTCTTCTTCTTCTATTCTATTCTATTTTTTCGCCTTCTGAACTCCGAAGATTAAGTTAGGAGCTAAGTTCGATTTGACGGTCATCGTGAACTACTTTTTCTTTTTCTTCTTCTTTTTTCTCCTTCTTTCTCTTCTATTCTATTTTCCGCCTTTTAAAATCCGAAGATTAAGTCTGGAGGTTGAGTTTGATTTGACGGCCATCGTTGAACTTCTTCTTCTCTTTCTTTTTCTTCTTCATTTTCTTCTCCTTCTTTTAATTCTTCTTCTTCTATTTTTCGCCTTCTAAAATCCGAAGATTAAGTCTGGAGGCTGAGTTCGATTTGACGGCCATCGTTGAACTTCTTCTTCTCTTTTTTTTCTTCTTTTTCTTCTTCCTTTCTTCTTCTTCTTCTATTTTTCGCCTTCTAAAATCCGAAGATTAAGTCTGGAGGCTGAGTTCGATTTGACGGCCGTCGTTAAACTGTTATCCCGAGGGTCCTTCGAGTTACCGAGGTCCTCTTCACTGGGTCGAAGGAGCGAGTGTGGCACTTGGCACTAATAGGTTTTTACGGTCGAGGCCATAGAGTGGGATTCGATTTATTATCATTATTGTTTTGATTTGTGTGTAGCGTGATTGGTGGGTGGGGGTGGGAGGAGGTAGGGGGGAGGGATAGGGGTGTAGGGCACGGGTAGGGTCTTCTTAGTTCCCCAAATTTGCCAGACTTGTTCTTCTTCTGTGTTCGTTCTTGCTCTGATATTCTTTGACTGAAAGACTGATAAATCTAATTTTCTCCCGCTTATTGGGAACACACACAAACGCACACGCACAGATANCAAAAATATTTAGAAGAAAAGGCCATCGCAGACAGCATGGATTAAGAGGTGCATTAGAACAGGAATGTGAAGTCTTCGCTTTAATAAATGCTCATCAATACAAACTATGAATTCACCATAATCTTTCTTATTTTTTTCCATTATTCCTTTTCTTTCTCTTTAAATATTATTATTACTATTACTGTTATATATCAAGACATCCTTATCAACAAAAACAAAACTGTTAAAAAAGAACAAAACAAAAAACTAAAAAAAAAAAAATAGTTTTCACAAATTGGGCCAGAAAATAAAAAAAGGACTTGGAGAAAAATCATTATACCTGCATTATACAAAGCTACTATTCCTCACTATTGCCATCATCATGAGATACATCAAAAGTTCATTATTATTATTTTCTTTCCCAAAATCAAAAAGATAAAAATCACAAACAGCAAAAGATTACTGGGTATAACACTCTTATACGCAGGCAGTGCATAGCAGACACCATTCGAACAGACAAAGCAACCAGGCTAGCCAATCTGCCTCATTACGCAATTATGTACACACCTACTAACAAACCATCGTAGGTCTCAAGCTACTTTGTTTTATTAACGTAAACATTCTTTGCTTTGAAAAGAAAAAGAAAAAGTGACGATGATTTTTAAATAGGATGAAAGAATTATGGAACTTCGGTCAATACACACTTGATGTCAGCCTATCCACTGCAAACCAGTCCTCCCAATCTTGCAATGCTGAAGCAAACACCTTTTACATAAAGAACATATCTATATTAATAATAATAATAATCATCATAAAAAAAAGAGAAAAAAAATATATATAGAGAGGAAGAGAGTAATCACGTTTTTACGCCAATCGAACGAGGCCTTGAGGTCAAGTGACTCCAATCCATCATTCCTGAGAGCACCTTAAAACCTGCGAATAACCCCCGGTATACTTCAACCTTAATCACGTGGCCGTTCCCCTGCACCCTTTTCTCCCTAACGCTCTTCTCTTTCTCAAAAGAAAACAAAGAGAAACACATTTCCTCTAGGTTGTGTGATGGAGAGCATACGAAGATGCAAACACACGTAAATGAACCTTCAAGCTATGTTACAACAGCCCTAGTGATAGATGTAGTAAAGGAAAAAGAAAAGTAATAGTTGCAGACAAAAAAAAAAAAAAAAATAAAAAAAAAAAAAAAACACCAAGAGTATGTGGGGTTACTATATACCAACGATCAACTTCCTATGGGATTCAACGTCAGATGATGATGATGACGCCTGGAAAGTGATACATCCAGGAATCGTACAACATATGTACACGTTACATAAAAACAGATTTATTAAAAATGTCTCGGTAAAGGACATTTCAGTATTAACAGAATCTTATGAGCTTTCAAAAGAAATTTGATGATGATGATAATAATAGTAATAAAGATACTACTAATAATAACAATAATAATAATGATAATAATGAAAACATCCAGATGCTATTTGGTTTGGTGGACAGAACAAGGTTTTACGAGTTTTTACTTTGTTCAACTATTGCCAGTGTAATAAAGCGTAGGAATGAAGTGTTACGCTAGAAAAAAGACGAAAAGAAAGATCACCCAATTACATATTGATATACCAAGAAACAAACCACTTTAAAAAAAACTGAATATATACAGCAATAACAATCACAATGTGCAAGTCAAAGACCAATCGTACATTTGCAATCAATCTATCTAGCTGCAATGGCCCAAAACACATACACACACACACATGCGCACACACACAAAACTGCACACAGAATCATGGGCACAGATGTGTACACATGCACATACGCACATGGGAGCAGAGATTAATTAACTTCTATTGTGAATATATGGCTTCTTCACATCACCAATGCCCGGCAAACCAAAAAAAAAAAAAAAAAAATAATAATAATAATGATAAAAATAAATAAATAAATAAGCTCATAACAATAACATTATCTAGATTTGTGCAGCAGAGCTATTTTTGTCTTTGTTTTTCATTTCGAAACATAATGCAAGGTACCACACACTATCAAAGAAAAAGAAAGAAAAGAAAAATCAGATAAACTCGACAAAGATGGAATTACTTCCAACTACAACAAACAACAAAACAATAAAAAAGGAAAAAGAAAAGAAAAAGAAAAAAAAAAAAGAAAAGAAAAGAAAAAAATTGACAAACTCAAAATAACCACCCTATAAAAAAAAATAATAAATAAATAAACAAATCAATGAAAAAAAAAACGTAAAATCACTACTCAGAACACAAAGCAAACGAGCAGAGACGTTCATAAGGCTAAGATGACGACTTGCCTCTAATATCACTGTAAACCACATAACCGTTACGTCATCCATTTACATAAACATATATACATATGTATATATTTATTCATATTCATTTATATAGCTATCTCTATGAACAATATATGAAATCAACAGTGGTAATACTGAAATATAAGCAACTGTAATTCCATACATAATTCACTCTATAAGGACAGGAAGTTCTTCGGCAGCGGGATGCACTGGGATATCGAACCGAAAACCTCCCTCTTCGCGGAAACTCAAAATCTGGAGAGAAGTATAAGTTTACTTATTGTGTGCACTATAGTTTCTTCTTGAGCTCTTTGTTTCTCTCTCTCTTTTTTTTTTTTAATCTAACAATCTACTTATCTATTTATCTATCTACTTATCTGTGTCGGTTTGTCTGTGTCTGTCTGTCTATCTGTCTGTGTGTCTGTCTGTGTGTGTCTGTCTGTCTGTGTGTCTGTCTGTGTGTGTGTGTCTGTCTGTGTGTGTGTGTGTCTGTCTGTCTGTCTGTCTGTCTACATATGTATATTTGACAGGTACATATGTACAGATCTATCTATCTATCTATTGACTTATCTAAACATCCATTCTCTACCTCTACCTGCATTACCTGTCTGTCTAACTGTCTCTGTCTATCTGCGCATATGTGTATCTGTCTATCTGTGACTATATGCACCTGTTTGTGTCTGCGTTTGTCTGTCCAGTACTCACTCACTCACTAACCTACTCACAAACCCACTCTTGACTACAACTTTCCTACACTATTCTGATTAAATAAATATTAGAAAGGACAGCTTATACCACAGCCAATACTGCATTCAAAAAGAGGAAAGAATAAAAATAATAATAATAATAAAATCAACAATAATAAAAAACTATGACAATACCATAATACACTTGGGTCTGCCAATCGCTGCAAGTCTTGACATAATTTTTTCATTTTTCTCTTTTATTTCATTACCAACTCAGGAAAAATAATGATGATAAAATACCTGTTGGAGAAATTCTACGCACAGGAAAAAATAGAAAAAAAAAAAAAAAAAAAAAATGACGCATACAAATGATCGAGTGTTTTCGTTTTCCTTTTGGATCGAGGGAATCGCATTATGTACATCAATATAATGCCCTTGGGATAAAAGAATCACACGGCCAATAACAGATTTTTCTTCTCCACTGCCTTGGGGTAGTTGTCCCTCTCTGCTGGGAGATTCCTGGCTCATTTCTACGCTTATTTGGTAGGCAGAGACGGTCTGGAAAGAAAATTAAGTAAGTGAATAATCTATTTCTTCAATATTACACTCTTAATGCTGATGCAACAATACCCACACTGCAACATTTCTCTTTTGAAAACTTGTATCATTCCCCAGATACCTCCAGCCCGACACTTTTCATTAAACCAAAGAGAAATCAGTAAACGCATCCATGAAAACTGACATAGGTTATAACAAAGCCAATGGAAAAGTATTGAGAGAAAGACATTAATAAAACTAATATCTAAAAATCGTAAAATCATTTCCAACGGCTAACCACAGTGCAAAAAGAATTCATTTCTCTTTTATATACTCCCTTAATATATAAAAAATATCCACATATCAGTACAATATTAACCCACAGACAGAAAAAATACAACACACAAGGACTAATAAAAAATCGATCACTCCCGCTTGCCTAAAAATCTGTCCATAAATAAGTTTACGTGACAACTGTGCAATTAAGAAATCTCACGTAATTTGAGATAGGATTCTGATCTCCCTACAGATCACGCTGTACCTATTGACTAACTGATTATTTTCAACCCCTTACTGACAGGTGGCTTGTCCTGTTGCAGACTATCATCAACATCAAATTTAACATTACCTTAATAATGCTTTTAATAATGACAGTAATGCCATCAATAATTGTAATCAAGATAATTACAACTCTTAAATTATCTGTTCATTGTTCTTTCATAGCTGAAAGAGTTCTGCTCTTTTAAGAAAGGAATTGTAAGTTGTCAAATTGTTGTGATTCAAAAATGAAACTAACATATTGTCAGGAGAATGATCAATCATCCAAACTTGTATATGAAGTATCATATAATTCACAAACATATATTTAACACATTAATATATCAACTACTGTGAATGGGTCACACAGTCACCTCATACCAGTGCTGGCAGCATGTGTACACTGCCAAGGTAAACACTGATCTGACGGCCAGGGTAGTAATGAACTTCTTGCCTCTGAGAAAAGCATCAGTGATGCCATCATACAAAAGTGTGCACACCAAAGTGACTGATGAGACCTTACTCAAATAGCTTTTGGACTAGCAAAGCTTGCCTTCACAAATCTCACTGAACCAAGTGATTTAGTCTTAATGACTGCTGCTACTACTAATGCTTGTGCTTACGATAACTGTAACAACAATAATAAAAGAAGGGTCAGTCAAGGACAGACTGACATTTAACTGGCAAATACTAATGGTATTTAGGTTTTCAGATATCACAGACAGTGAAATTGGTTCAGTTCACAGAAGACGGTTTCTTGTATGATGGGCAATTTGAAGTTTGGGGAGAAAGGAGTGGGGATGTCCAAGAAAGTGGGAAGTTGGTGACGCACACAAAGTTTGTTTTACACTTGACAAAATTCTGTAGCTGCATATTGATTGGCACATTAATATAATACAGAATATGGTCGAGAAACCATTCAAAAATAGATTATTTTGTAAAATAGGACTGTATCTTATTTCACACTATGGACACCTTTAAGGTCACATGATATGATTATTCCATAGATATTACATTTACCTGTCTGGCACAATTAATGCGTTTGTACTGAATTACATATGCATATACTTTCACAGTGTTAGTGAAGTGTTCCTAAAGCGTTACTGACCTTCCATTCATCCCCAACTGTATACTGTATGTACATGTCTGTGCATATGAACTCCCTTCCAAGTGGTATGCACACCCATACCACGCATATTGAGCCACCTCCAAGTTGCATGAAATAAACAGTTGTTCACTTGTTTGGATGTTACTGCAGAGCTTTAGGAGCTACAGCCCTTCAAAAGGTGGTGTGGTCCATTATGGCTCACAAAGCTCCCATTGGCATTGGGTTCACAACATTATTGAAGGCCCAATATCAGTGTCAAAGTTTATAAAGCAGAGGGCCAGATTTAAGTACATATCAAAATAAGCAAACCAGACTTATTGTGTTGTGTATTTATAAGAGATGTTCATTTATACTTTTGTAAGACCTTTATTTTCACTTTACAAAGGGTTTCCATACTTGATATATGAATTTAAACCCCAAAGTTTGAATTGGACCCTAATTTTACAGTCCCTCCCAGACTGAAGTTGACCTAATGCTGACGGGAACATGTAACGTTCACTCTAGTATAGTTTTGTTTAATGTTTTTACAGAGATGACTCCACAAGTGCAAAACCACGAGTCAATTAGTAGACCTAAATGAGTGAGTGAAAATGTTCATTTCTTATGCTATAATTATCAATGTTCTCATCATTATTGGCATTATAATTGATTCAGTGCTATTAACAATACTACTAACAGCAATATGAAATAAATAAGAATATTTCTGTAAATCAACGAAAGCAGTAAATAGGCAAGATACGTAGAACTAGTAATCAACTCATTGGCGACTGTGCAATGTGTGGAGCCAGACAATTAATAAACAAAAGCCCAAACATCAAGTTAAAAAACAAGGCAACAGTTCTCAAACTATACAGAATCCCTCCAAATTGCCGACTAGAAATTAGTTGACCTTTACCTCTCGTGAAGACAGTAAACACGCACGGGAGTAAGTACACACGCTCAGAACTTAATCCACCTTGACGACACTGTAGATCTTTCGCACAAACCAAAAGCAAGCGAGGAAGCCAATGGTTCCTGAAAAATTTAAAATGGCAAAGTAAAAAAATGTTTCAGGGTAAAATTATGTAAGAAAAATAATATCCATGAACTTTAATATAAATAACATTACATGAATGTATGTATGTAAGTAGGTATGCATACATGTATGTATACATATATGTATGTATACATGGATAAATGTAAGTATGTATATGTGCATATATATATGCATCAATGTATTAATGTATTAATATATATATATATATATATATATATATATATAATATATATATATATATATATATATATATATATATGCATGTATGCATGTATGCATGTGTATGCATGTGTATGTATGTGTATGTATATGCATGTATATATGTATGTATGTATGTATATGTGTGTATGTATGAGTATGTATGTGTATGCTCCTGTGTACGTATATGTACCTATGTAGGTATGCAGGTATGTACATATGTAGGTATGTATGTATGTAGGTATGTACATATGTAGATGGTAATTAGGTATGTACATATGTAATATGTAGTATGTACATATGTAGGTATGTACGTATGTAGGATTGTACATATGTAGGTATGTAGGTATGTAGGTATGTACGTATGTAGGATTGTACATATGTAGGTATATGTTCCTATGTAGGTATGTATGTATGTAGCAATAAACATATGCAGGTATATATATGATTGTAGGTATGTACGTGTGAAGGTACGCATGCAAACCCACAGTTTCACCTGTTGTGCCTGCAACCACCTACCTGTCAAGATGAAGAAGAGGAACACCATAATGAAGGTGTAGCCGAAATAGAGGATGGTGGACACCACACCCTCAATGTTGAGCTTCGTCACAAAGTAATGGACGCAGTAGATGAAGAGGTAGAATGCGGTGAAGCCCGAGGTGAGGAAACTACGCCACCACCAGTGATAGTCCTGAAATGCGGAGAAAAACGGTGAGGATGACACTGTGGTTCTCCTTAGCATGATCTGCTGTTCTGCAAGCATACAATACGGATCTGACAGCAAGATCTACCCTCATCATAAAATGCTTCTCAGTCTATACTTATCACTCAAATGCACGCAAGCCCACAGACACACAATAGTAGTTTCGTCTTTCAAACATAAATGCAAATTAAATTAACACAATTAGGCATTAATACAATCAATCTCTTTTTCACATCTGAGATACTGATATATTGCATATTGAACATTCTTGGGTTTCTAGCAAAAGGATCTGACAGCGTCATAAAAACGACTCATGTGAAAACTGAAACACATGGGTACAATGGAAGTGTGCTCTAATGCATAAACCATTTCAATGTAAATGAAAACAACAATTAGAGGTAAACACTTTACACTGAGATACCTAATTAGTGGATCACCCTAACACTCTCTAAGCAATAATCACATCTATTATTTACATGGGTCCGTAGAGGCACACAGAAAAATATATGGATGTGTTTGCTGATGAAGCAAAACACACATAAAGGTAACAAATAATAATACAAGCCAAAACCTGAAAAAAGGACAATCATTTACACTGACACACAAACACAGAGATGTATAAAATGATAAAAAAAAAAGGGGACAACACCATCTCCCTCCTCCTCTCTTACCCTCCCACCCACCTCCCAGACCCCCTTACATACCTCGGCGCACAGGTGGAAGTAGCAGAGGAGCACAGTGGTCTCGGAGCAGGTGATCACCAAAATGAGGAACACCAGAAACAGGAAACCGAACATGTAATAGGTCTGGGCAGACCAGATGGAGTTCAGGATGAAGAACAGCTGGATGAAGATGCAGCCGAAGGGCAGGACGCCACCCATGATGATGCCTGGCAGGGGCTGTGTGTATACACTCTGCTCGGGAATCTGCCTGGGGATCTGGTTGGTGCGGACAGGGTTCTCCAAGGTCTGGAAGTTAGAAGTATTATATAAAGTCATGAAAAAATAAGGATGAAGATAACAAAATAATCTGTTTCATTACATATTCTTCAATAAGTTTTATACAATACAGATATATAAAAAAAAAAAAAAAAACCACATAATAAAAAATAAAAAAAATAGAGCAAATTACGAACAAAATAAAAGGAAATGACTACAACCCATTCTCCTTCACCCACCTCACCTCACCCCCCTAAAAAAAAACAAAAAAAAACACAAATGCAACTTTGACCACTTACCCTCTTCCTGTACCCGAAGAAAGAGCCGACAAAGGTGAGCGGCACCGAGACCAGGAACCAGAGCGCCAGGAGGGCCAGGAGGGTGGTGAAGGGGATGGCTGCACTCGAACCCTTGTACCAGAAGATGAGGTTCATCAGGAAGAAGAGGGCGAACACAATGCTGAAACAGGGATGGACATAGATGGCTAAAAATTCATTACTTGAAATTCAATATCTTATTTCTATTAATCCATCTACCCAATTATGTATTTATATACCCAAGATTCATCCACTTCCATCATTAATTTGGAGGCTTGTCCATCAATTTTTTTCAATGCTTATCAATCTATCTAACTGTTTATTTACCAACAATTACATCTTTTTATCAGTCAGTCAGTCAGTCAGTCAGTCAGTCAGTCAGTCAGTCAGTCAGTCAGTCAGTCAGTCAGTCAGTCAGTCAGTCAGTCTCAGTCAGTCAGTCAGTCAGTCAGTCAGTCAGTCAGTCAGTCTCAGTCAGTCAGTCAGTCAGTCAGTCAGTCAGTCAGTCAGTCAGTCAGTTTCAGTCAGTCAGTCAGTCAGTCTTGTCTGACTGTCTGACTGTCTGCAAGGTATGTGTTTGTGTGTTATATTTATTTGTTTGTCTGTGTCTATGTTTGTTTGTGTCTATGACTGCATAGGTTATAAGTCTGTCCATCTATGTTTGTATGTGCTTGTCGTCTTTCTGTGTTTGTCAGTAGGTCTCAAAAGCCCAAATAAATTAAATGCATAAATAAAGTAAATATACAAATAATTACTTAACAAAAATATCCCAAGATATACATACATCAGACTTCAAACTACAAAACAAAAAAACAAAAAATAAAATAATAATTTAAAAAATAAACCAACCCTAAAGAACCACTCTATCACACGATCCTCACTCACTCAAGCCCTCGCACTCACCCAGGGCACAGCATGGAGGTCAGGAGTACATTCGACTTCCACTTCTCTCCACCGAAGCTCTTATACAGTCGCGCTGCTGTGTATCCAGCAGGGAACCCTAGGCAGACATACAGCACCATTGCACAGGTCATGAGAGCGCCTCGGTTGGCCGGAGACAGGAAGCCGAGGCAGGCGAAAGCTATGTAGGAGTTGAGGGAGGACTATTATAATCTGTTCTCTCTCTCTCTCTCTCTCTCTCTCTCTCTCTCTCTCTCTCTCTCTCTCTCTCTCTCTCTCTCTCTCTCTCTCTCTCTCTCTCTCTCTCTCTCATTAAAAATTGAAGAAAATAAACACAAAAATTACATTGATACTAGGAAGAATGAGCAAAATAAAGTCACAACCTCTAAAATATAAACTTGGAGTCTATAAATAAAAATCTGATACATCTTATAGAGTACTAAAGAATATGTACCCACAGTCTTACTTTTCAATAACACTCGAGAATGTTAAATCAAAGAAGTCACTGAGTGACAAAGTTTCGAAACCAACCTAGGGTGATGAGGGACATGCTGAACACCTGCACGCCAGAGCCAACCAGCACCGAGAGCAGCATGCCATTGCGTGGAGGACGGAACACATCTCCATGGACCAGTTTCCAGCCATACTCTTCCTGTGCATCCTCTCCTGCATCAATCTGGAAACAAGAAAGAAAAAATGTTATGAATAACAGCTAGTCATACACATACATATACACATACATTCTCCCCTAAATTTCTCTAACAATCTTCAGCTAAAAGGGTCTCAAATCCCCCATAACCTTTCTTCTCTCACGGTACACTTTGTCCCTCCACCTCAAACGACTCTCTGCCCACCTCCCCTCCACCCTCCCTCCACCCAATACCTTCCATGCACATCCTAACTTCCCCTTCCCTCCAGCCCACTTGATGATGGTCATAGAGCCTAAGATTTACATTTCAATATTTTCAAAGAGGGGCAATTCCACCCAATCCAAACAGCCTTGAAAAATTCAGTCATGCGCCACTTGGAAGCTATTTATAACGTCTACTTGAACGCCTTCTATCAGCAGAGTGACCTGAACCTTTATGTTGCATCCTGTATATTCCTATAACCCCAATAAAGTAAAAAAGGAATAGCCTTATCTTTGCTTCCGCTAGTCAAGCAGAAGTCCCTGGAACAATTAAAATGGAGTTCTTACATACCTTCCCCTCCTACCACCCAACACCCAAACTCCCCACCTCCTTCCACCATCCACCAAAGAAAACCTCGTTCCCTCACCCCACTCTGCTTTGTACCCTCCTCCTCCCCCCCCTTGCCGTTTCTTTCCTTACCTGGTTGTAACGAGCAATATCCTTGTGCAAGGTCCTGAGCATGATCATGGCCACCATTCCTGACAGGAAGAGCACGATTACGAGGGAGTTGAGGATGCTGAACCACTGGATGTTGGTGTGAGGCATGGAGTCCAAGATGTAGTCCCAGCGTGAGGACCAGCGGTTGTCACCGACGGATTTCTGTGGACATGGAAGGAAGGGATTGGTGGTGTGATGACATGAGAGAAAGAAAATAAAAGAGAAAAAGTAAAAGAGTGGAAAAGAGAGGAAAAGAATAGAAAGTCAAGAGAAAGAGGGAAGGGGAGAGAGGGAGGGAGGGAGGGAGGGAGAGGGAGGAGAGGGAGAGGGAGAGGGAAGAGAGAGAGAGAGAGAGAGAGAGAGAGAGAGAGAGAGAGAGAGAGAGAGAGAGAGAGAGAGAGAGAGAGAGAGAGAGAGAGAGAGAGAGAGAGAGAGTATTTTTGGACAATTATTCACAACTATTTAATAAACCCTTCATCTCCTAAAAATATTTCACCCTTCTAGCCCAATTCCAACTGACATCCCTTCTCTAAAACTTCAACAAACAGCTCGTTTCTCACCGAGAAGATTACGCTATATGTGTACTTGATGGTGATGGGTTCCTTGGAGTTCTCCGGAATGCCCATTACGTCCTCAGTGTTGCAGCCTGTGATATCACTGTGCTTGATACTCCTCGGGATCACACGCACAGCTGCAAGCAATTTGGATTGTGCTTATTGGGTTCAGTTTGCAAAATTCTCCATTCTCTATAACAACCAAACAAACTGTAGCACACATTCTTAATTGGGCATAATCTTCAGTTGACTTATATTAAAAAGAAATGAACAAATCTTAAGATCTGGGCTTATCTCCTTGAAAATTCGAAAAAACCCAATAATGAGAATGTACACGACAAAAGCATAAATAAAATACTCCCTATATCATATAATCCCAGTCCCCACCCCAAAGAAAAATACTTCTTTACCCCATGATCATCGTTACTTACACAAGATCCTGCCTCCATGACCCTGGAAGGCGCTGCCCCATTCCTCCTTCTCGCCGCTATGATAGGTGATGTTGAGGTCTACGTGGTTGAAGATGTAGTACGTGCTGGGATCCTTGTATCTCTTCTGCAAGGGGAACAATGATCGATAGTGTGGCCTTTTTGTTTTTTATTTTGTGTTCATGTGTTTTTGCATTTCTCGCATTTTTAAACTTGCACTTCGGTCAGATTATCCAGGGTATAGGGTGCTAAAATTGGCTAGTTTCCCCATGTCCAATAGGCTGTGCTTCAGCTTAAGTGCACAGATATCCTAAAAAAACATAACTTACAAGATAAAAGCAAGATTACCAAGATGGTAGACAAAGAGAGTCAAAGATAGGATATCCAACTTACGTCCATAACACAGGCATCCTTGGGTCTCTTCCCAGCATCAACGTAACAGCCAACGGGGAAACCAGTTGCGCAGAAAACATTTCCTCCCTCAACAATATAGCACCATGTAACTGGCATATTGTCTGGGGAGAGATGAGAGGTAACAGGGTAAAACTCTTGTTATGACAATTTTTCCAGGAATTAGTAGTTTCCGAACAAAATAGTTTAACCCAGTAACGATGGTTGTCCCATGTATGAGACATCCGAAAAAATAAACATTGCCGGACGTCTCGCTAGTGTGACGCTGTATTGGGGCGTCAGTAATAGAACAATGATATACCAACATACTACCAGGTCCACAGGGAGACCAGGTCACAAAATCAAACAAAGCTAGATCATTCCTGCATCTGACAATATGCCCAACAATTTGAATAAAAGATATAAAGTATTAGGAAAATAAAATGAATACTTCAAAACAATGAAAACCCTTCCCTTGCCAAAACAGGAAGAAAAATTTGCAATACTACTTCAGAAACACATTTTTGACACACCCACCTACAATCCAGTGGTGATAATAATTCAAGTTCATGGCCCTCTTGAGCTCCTTCAAAAGCGCAGAATCAGCAGTCTTCTTGGGGTCATAGGATTTTGAACAGACCGTCTTGCAGGTCTCGTTCTTCATGAATTCGATCTGCAAATCCAAGCAACTATCAAAAATTCTGGATCCGGAAATAATTAGGAACACCGTTGGTAGATTTTACAACCATGAGTTTTAACCTAGTAGCTACAGGTACTTGTACTGTCCCATTCAGTCTTTTGTGAATTTTGTCGCACACAGATGGCGCCACAAGTCAAATCAGAAAAGCCTTAGGTGACCCCATTCCTTCAATTCTCAGGAAAAATGTAATTATTGATACTGTGTTTATTACAATGCTAAGAAAATATTAATTTCATTGAAGACTAAAAAAGGTTATTTCCAAAAAGTTTGAAAAAAGGTAAACGGGTG